AAAAAAAAAAAAAAAAAAAAAAAAAGAATTTTTTTCTGCCACCTGAGATTTATTTCCTCGGGACGTAGGAAGTCCCATAGTTTACTAAATAGCGAGCGTGGGATCGCGGGCAAAATGGTAATTTTCAATCGGTACTTCTAGCTGCTTATAAGCATGCGGATGGTAAGAAAATAGATGGTCGCAGAGTGTTGGTGGACGTCGAACGAGCTAGAACTGTGAAGGGATGGCTTCCGCGGAGGCTCGGCGGCGGTCTCGGTGGAACGCGAAGAGGCGGTCCCGACGTAAACATTAAACACTCTGGTCGGGAAGATAATGAAAGAGAACGCGAACGGTATCGTTTGGAACGAGAGAGGGAGAATTCTGGACGCCTTGATAGAGACAGGTATATATATGAATGGCTTTGTAAATTTCTAAATAATCTTTTTTTAAATTCTTTCTCACAACCTTATTCATGCGCAGGGATCGCGATCGCTTGGATAGAGAGCGTAGAAGGTCCCGCGATCGTAAAAGAAGATCAAGAAGCAGATCGCGCGATCGGAAACGTAGACGAAGCCGCGATCGTTTAGCCGATCCGGACATCGAAGAGATCCAAAGAGACGAACGACCGCGCGACAGGAGGGATCGCGATCGTGATCGCGACCGCGACCGCGACCGTAAGAGAAGACGTTCCAGGAGTAACGATCGTGATCGTGACAGGGACCGTAAGAGAGACAAGCGCGATCGTGATCGCGAACGTAGAGATAGGAAAGATCGGGGTGATCGTCAAGACGAGGACACGAAAGAAATTCGAATCAAGGAGGAACCTTTGGATGGTACGTTCTTCCCCCTCTTCAGCTCACCGTCCACCGTGTTATATTGCCGATCCAATTGGCTGACTATCTCTTGTCGAACACATTTCTTTCCAGATTACCCTGACTATAGTAACACGTTCTCAACGTCTGGATCGTACTTCACCGCCGTGAAATACGAAGACGATAACGATCAAGAAGTTGAAGAGAAATACAGAATTCCAGAAGGTCGTCCAGATCCCCCTCCCTACAATAACTATGATTCCGTGCAAGACTATTGATCTCGATGATATCTCTTGTATTGTTCTTTTTCGTTCCCGTGCACGATAACTTAACGCAATTGCCAATAATGTATTGTATTTCCTACCGTTGTTAGCGTAACACTGAATTGTCCACGTTGAGTATGTAGTTTCTGTAGAATCTGCAGCGACCAGATGCTCAATAAGGACTACTACTGCAAGGTAAGCAGATTTCGATTAATGATTTATATGCAGTTATTTTTATCTTCATTGGTTCGGAATTTTATATAATCGCGATTGACACGGAGGTAAATCTGACGAGTCAGTCTAGGGCGCGTTCATGAAATTCGATTACTGTAGCAGTTTGTGTGTGTGTGGTGTGTGTGCGTGTGTATGTGTGTGTGTAAAACCTCGCAATATAAAACTGGTAGGTCAACATTGAATTTTTTTTTGTTTTTTGCGCCTATTACAATTTCAACATTCAATTTAAATATGTACATACACAAATACATATGGGATATATGAAGTTAGTTCTTTCACGACTGCTACATGTATATTTATATATGTATAAATAAATAAAGTAAATTAAACACCTCACGTTTGTCAGTTACTCGGCCATTTGTCTCTAATCTTTACGACAGTGAGGAGTGACACGATCTTTAAACGTTTGAGGTTTACAAAGGTTTACGAAACCGTGAAGTTGACGATGTTTGTGTTAATACCTATGTACATAACGTCAATGTACATACGTGTTGCGGTATCGAACGAGAGTTATTTTTTGTTACATCTACCGTAAGTGACCAGCTCATCGCGTATTAACTGGATCAGATCATTCCGGTCTCTTACTTGTGTACACGATGTCGATAGCGGGATTAAAAATAGTAAAAACTTCCAAGAAAATCAATCGCAACGATAAAATTATTGTACTTTAAATAAATTTGTCTAGAATAATCGTGTCGTACGTATTCCATTGCGAGAAATTATTTATATTATCGTAACGAACGTCGTGTCGTTTTCGGAAAAATTCAAATTGTAAAAGCAACCGTGTACCATGTATTATACCCTTCGTCATCCCTTCTTCATCGTTGTTTTCAATTTCTATTAAGAAGAATTGCTACAAAAGTTACCAAATCAAAAGTTACAATGCAATGAAATTAACTAGCATTCGAATTTCGCGCCAAATGGCGTTGGTTGCCGAACTTCGACGTAGCAGCGCCACGGTAGCTAGGTTTCCTGCATTTTCGAAAGAACCGTTTTGCATTTTCTCTTCCTGCATTTTGCACAGATGTAGATAAATAAACCGTCGTTGTTGTTGCAAAAATTTCATTCGTACAAATGGTGCGAACCTAGCGTTACCTTATTCGCTTCGACAATTATTTTTGAATCCGGCGGACAGTTTGAAATAACAATATCACGTGATTCAGATAATTGAATTTTATCGAATCGTTCTCGACGTAAATAAAGTTTAACAAAAACGTATTTTAAACATATATGTATGTTACACACATACACACACACATATTTGTAAAATACATATTTGTATATAATATATATTTGCTATATATATAACACATATATATAATATATATAATACATATATATTGGTATATATGTAAAATACATATAATGTATAATATATATAATACATATTTGCTATATATATAAAATACATATAATATACAATATATAATACATAATAAAATACATATATAAAATACAATATATAATACATAATAAAATACATATATAAAATACATATAATATACAATATATAATACATACTTGCTATATATATAATATATATAATAACATAATTATTTATATTTGTAAATATAATACAATATTATATATATATATTATATAAGATATTATTATTTGCTATATATATTACAGAAATAGTTGTTACAGAATATGCGTTGATCAACTGACGAGAGAGAGATAGAAAGACGAGGGAAAAAGGTGTAGCGGGATGAAATAAAGACGGAATTAGAAGCAGGTGATGATAGACGATGATAGCGAGTTCAAGTTCCTTATCCTATTTGCGCGATGTCGTTGTCCGATGTCAACCGGCACCGCCATATTAAACGCTCGTTCCCCGGAAATTGCAATTCCCCTGCAATAACTTGGAATTGCTTCTGATTCGACTATCGTCGCCCAGCCTATCGTTCATCGTCCGAAAAATCAGCCTGGCAAATTGCGTCGGCATTGCGATTCTGCTATTCTGTTCTGAGCAGTTGCCCTCGACTTTTCTCGATTTTCTCTAAGTATGCCTACGATTCAGTATTCTATGGAAGCTTGGGAAGGGGAGCAGCGTTTCATTTTTGGTTTGTATGAAATCTTGCGGATTTGTTTTTCCTTCTTTACAACTGTCTCGAGATGTTTGTAAAAAGTTGTACAAATACCTTCGAATATATTCAACAGCGAATTTTCTTTTGCAGTTGAATCATGCTACACGTATGCTATACTAATTTCAGGCCAGGCCTTCAACGTCGCTTGCTTTGAACGAAAGGAAGATGATCGCGATAATGGAGCACGCAATGAAGTAGTTGAATACAGAAGTTGTTTAATCAGAAATAGTTGGCGCGATGTTTCCTCCGGATAAATAAATTGAGGAACCGCAGGCGTAAGTAACTCGAGCGGTTCGCCTCGTTCCCCCAACCTCAGTGCCTCTTACCCTTCGTCGCAGAGTGCTTAATTATTAGCGGTCCTGGATTTAGATCGGTTTCTCGTCGTTGGCGATGCCACATCTCCACTAATAATTTCACGTAGAAAAATCTTAATCTTTTGCCAAAATAATTCAAAATAATTTTGCCTTTACGTCGTAGAAAGAGAGTGGGAAATTATTTATAGTTCCGTTAGAGATTAACTTCCGCTCGAATCGAAGAATCTGTACCGAAACGTTTGGCTCTAGCTCGACTTGAGTTTGAAATTGTTTAACGAAGTCGGTGGTAGGGAGTCGTTAGGTATCCATTAAGTTTCATCAATTTTTTTTTCTTTTCGATTCCTTTGAGATCGCCCCGTGTCCGGCATCGTAAACCGAACGCGATTCGAAGCCCCAGCGGTAATTCCGTTTCATACAATTTTAACGACGATTCGACTCCGGCGAGCTCGTATCGGGCTTTTCGGATAAAACTTGCTCGCCGATTAATCTTGCTAAAGGATATTACTTAGGGAATGATAAAGTAGCCTCTCTCTAGTGGAAGGTACTTGCTTTGAGCTCTCTCTCTCTCTCTCTCTTTTCAGTCTTTTCATTTCTGATTCAACGCTGCATAATATTACAGCGTCCAGCTTCTGCTGTTTGACCAAACGCAGAAAATTTCTTTTCAGTGACCGACCGCTGCCTCCAACAAACATTCAACGAGTTTACATTGTACAATGCAACAAAAGCGGGGCTTCACTTTGTTTGTAAAACGGCGAGAAGCTGGACTCGCCTTGAAACGAAAACTCCATAGCAAGCTTCACAATTATTGGCCACGGAGATTCGAATCAATGCCCCGATAGAACGCCGCGCGGTCGTTCGTGAATCTTTTATCAGCGTTTGTACGAACGGAGATTAATCATTCGCGTTTTACGATCAATGCGATCGTTGTTTGTTTGGTAGTAGCAGGCCGGTAGTAGCAGACACACAGCGAGCTCGAGCAGGGATGAAAAACTGAAATGTGAAAATCTTTTGCGACAGGCGTACAAATACTTGCCAGAGGAAGGAGAAGCAGGACGACGAGATATGGGACGAGAGACGAGCACTATGAAACGTTTTAAGGGTAATTAAAAGCAATTTCTTAATTGCGCGAATTTCGTATTATCCGGGACAGTTGCGCGGCAGGCTGAATGTACAGGGCGAGCTTTCTATCGAGAGAGAGAGTAATTGTTCCAGAAGAAACGCGTTCGTTAAGGCAACGAAATGAAAAGGAGGAGGAAGCTGAAATCAAGGAGCAAAACACTTGTGGATGAAACGGAGAGAGACAAAAGGTGTGGAAGAAATCGGTATATGCAAATAACGAAATAGGGAAGAAGAATAGCTAAGAAAAAAGAGAAAACGCGTATGGTAGTCGGAGCGTTTTCGGTGGTAGAGGGGGTGTGAGAGAGAGAGAGAGAGAGAGGGAGAGCAGTGCACGGCACGGCACGGCGCAGGTGTGCGCCGGTAGCCCGGTCGCTGGCATGGTATTCCGCACGCCTTAGGTGCGCGTGTGCGCCGAAAGAACGATAGTGTAAAGTTCGGAGCGTGTATAGGTGCGCCTGTGCGGTACACAGGCACGAAACCTTCCAGTTTGATCGCGAAAGAGCGACGAGAGAACGCTAGTACATTGGGTACATTGAAAGAAGAGAGGGTTCGTACC